ATTTACCTCGGCTCCTGCTGTAATTGCTCTGGTTGCTGGCACATCACATTGAGAGGACTGAAGGAAATTTTGATTCTGCATTCAATTACAGGGCTTAATGGCTCTACAAAATATTATGCATTGTACAAATACACAAGAGTAGTGGATTTATGCTCACATGCTTGCATATCAAAAAGAAGATTGTATTCCAGAGGAAGCAATCTCCTTAACTGAGAATAAGAAGCTTTAAAAGATCTTTGGCTTGAATGAAAATGCCTTCTTTTTGGAGCCCAGTCACATCCCTAGGTATAAAGTCCACTAGGACTTGTTGTGATAAGGCACGAAATGATGACACAGACACTGTTGCTTTCGAGGGGAACAAAAAAGAAGTACTTTTATTTTCTGATTCTAACATTCATAGTTTTCCAAAGGTGACAGTGGATTGGAGGGTGACAGTGCTACCTCTCCAATGCCACTGGACAGACCAAGGGTCCATCAATTCTTTCCACCTCCATGAAAGAATGCAAAACATAGGTTATTTACAGAACTGTGTGTGAGAAAGTTTGTTGAAAGAATGTAAACATCAGAAGGCTTAACAAAGTCTTACAAAATCAGGGCGACAAGGACTCTGTGAGAACATCTACAACGAAACCATGTCCTTTGTCCAAGCTGAGGGACTGCTCTGGATTCAGTGTTGGAGTGCTACTCCTGCCTTGCTAAAAAAGGAAATGAACATCCAGAAGTTCTATTTGCCAAATCCAGAAGCTATTTGTTTGCAGAGGAAAATGTCAACAAACATTTATTGATACCACCAAAAAAAAACCCAAAAAACCCCCAAAAAACACCACCTCAGGAATAAAAAGGCTGCCCATTTTCTGCTGTTACATCAATAACAGTACATCAAAACAGTGTATCTATAATCAATACTGTATAAAGGCACTAGTTATGGCAGGTAGTCACAGGACCACAGGATGAAATACAGTGGTTAAATCCTCTGATTTTACAGCAAGGCAATTATTTTCTGCTGTAGTTTTTAAGAAAACACTTATTATGTGAAATGGGAAAAAAAAAAAAAGAAAGGGCACATAGCCCAGCATGACTTTTTGCCCTTAGCATAGCTTTGCAATGCCGTCTTTGAGTTTACAAAATAGTTTTGATATTTCAAGTACATGTCTTATTATACTTTACCCTTCCCCTCAGTTTCAATGCTAGTCACAGCAACTGGATTACCTAATTGGTGTATTTGCTTTGAATTGAGAGAATTTCAAAAACATAGTGCCACCAGCTTTACCCCTTTGTTTACTTAGGAATTCCTTTCTTCAGAGATTGAGCTTAACTTGGACTCTAATGAAAAGTGAATTTTTTATGACTTGGGGTTTTTTTTCAGATAGTTTGGACAAGAACAGAATTTGTTTACAGTTGTTAATACTCCAAGAGTCCAGTACCGTCTACTTAGTTATTTTCTATTTAGCCAATATTATTAGGTCAACAATAACTTTTAAAACTTTCATAGCAAGATATTTGCTTTTTAAACATACAACACCAATGAATCAGATTCTAGTGCACTGATAAAAAATATTGCAATCCAGTTTTATTTTTCTGAAATTTATATTTTCACTTCCAGAAGCTTCTTGGGTCTCATTTTCCTAGAAAAGCAACCTGTAATTCCATATCTTCATAAATGGCAGTGCACACACAAGACAAGAACTATTCAGCTCCATCAAAAATTCCTTGTTTTTTAATAAGTGCACAGGGAAATCAATTATGGAAACACGATGAGCAGTTCATAATTTTCTTGTAAATTATGATATTAAGCTCAAAGTAAATACAAACATTTCTGTTTTAAAGGCATCTTTATTCTTTTTAACCATCTTCATTATTGTAATGCCTAGGGATTGATGAAGCATGGGATCCTCAATTTGCTGCATCTCACCAAAATCAACAAAACAACAAAAGGCTGCTTGTTGTCTTGCCTTCTTGCCTCCTGCCATGCCTGTGGATGGAGAGATCTCTTGAGATCTTTTTTTTTTTTTTTTTTTTTTTTAAATAGATCAATGAGACAGAAGGAAAGTGGGGAATTCCTGGGAAAGGGATTTGTGAGAAGCAGACAAGTAGGAACACTGTAGCACCAATTTAGTTTGGTTTACACTGCTGTGAAGCAGCAATTTGCAGGTGTGGTTCCTCAGTCTAAATCCAGTAGCCAAATGAAGGGAGTACCTTGCTTTCCTGCAGGCTCACTCTTCCCCAGTGTAAGGACTAACAAGGCAAGCCAGACAGCCAGACTCTGCTGTCTTGAAACTAAGCTGAACTTTCATAACACAAAGGCTGTTTTCCCCATCTATCTTCTAGCTGTCTGCTTCCGCTTTACTTGCTCCAACTCTGGTAACTGCTTAACCCCAGAGTGAGAAAATTTAGGAATCTGAATCAGCAAAAAGCTAGTTATGTGATTTCAAAAAAGGGAGAAAATTAATTAAAATATTACCTTTCTGAACTGTTTAAGTGAAGATAAATAAAAAACAGCTCTAGCGTATGAAAGGAAAGAATTGTATACACAACAGCTGCCTGTATCAGCTGTGGCCTCCAGTTTAGCATGAGGAGAACCCTCCCAATATCAGAGAGGCAGGAGGCCAATGTCACTGTCCATGGCCACTGATGGAGGTTGTTACGCTTCCCATCTTCCAAGTCCCATGCTTCTGCCTGTAGGAGTCGTGAGCCAGCCCAGCTCACTGACACCAGCTCTTGTCATTTAGCCCGTTAAATCAACCCAAGTGGTCAGTGTGTGCAGGGTCTGGCACAGGGGACAAGACAGGGGCCAAGTGGAGCAGCTAGGGGGGAGAAGAGGAAGAATGACCTCCTCTTCTTTCCTTTCCCTGCATGTGAAAGCCATAATTGTGCCTTCAGAGGCCACAGAGGCCAATGCAGAGGGATGAAGAGGACATTTCCTTTCCCACCATCAAGAGGACTTGGACCAGTTTAAACTGGCCTTGAAAAAACACCTAAAATCCCAGCCCCTCACTTAAGGGTCTCTGTTTTAATTCAAGTGGATTCCTGGCAGTCTGCATGTGGGTCAGCCATGCTGGGGCTTTACTTGGGAAATTGCCATCCATGAACAGTTGTTCAGTTCAGCTGCACATCCATGTGCAGTTCTGGGCTTCTCAGCACAAGAAAGGAGCTACTGGAGACAGTCCAGCAAAGGGCTACAAAGATGATTAGGGGTCTGGAGCATCTCTCTTATGAGGAGTGACTGCAGGTGCTGGGCCTGTTTAGTCTAGAGAAGAGAAGACTGAATGAGGATCTCATTAATGCAGATAAATATCTCTAAGGCAGGCGCCAAGAGCAAGGTGCTGGACTCTTTTTGGTGGTGCCCAGCAACAGGAGGAGGAGCAAGGGCCATAAATTAAAACAATGGCCATAAAATAAACACAAGAAGTTTCACTTCAGCATGAGGAAGAACTTCATGTTGAAGGTGGTGGAGCCCTGTACCAGGCTTCCCAGGGAGTTCATGGAGTCTCCCTCTCTGGAAACATTCAAAACCTGTCTAGACGTGTGCCCATGTTATCTCCTTTAGGTGATCCTGCCTTGAAATGGGGTTGGACTAGATGATCTCCACAGGTCCCATTAAACCCTGTGATTCAGTGTAAGTAACGGTAAAGTCCGATGGGTTGTGCTGGATTTATGGAATAGCGCTGAGCACCCAGGCTTACGCAACTCTGAATTTAATAATCCGTGTCTCTCTTGAGCGCTGTCGCATTCTGGATAAGGAACCCGATTTTGCGACAGCAACGCTGCAGAGCCAGCCACACCGGGAGTACTGGGATGGCTCCACGGTGATCTTCCCACCTTACACCTGGGCACTGAGCAAGGCAGGAGGGGTTGCAGGGCATCGCTAGGCAAAGCCGGGACCGCGCTCGGAAGGGGGAGGGAGGAAGGCAGCAGAGCACCCAAGCATCCCAGCACCTTTCACGCCTCTTCCCCTGTTCTTCCAACACTTTCCCTTTCTCCCCAAGAGCGCCGGACCGGCTCCGCGGAGATCAGCGGGGCGAAGGGCGCATGCGCCTCCCACTGCCGCTGGACACGACCCGCAGGGGTCCCGGGGGAGCGCCCGGCGGGAGCGCGCACCGCCCGCCCGTCCGTCTGTCTGTCTGTCTGTCTGTCCGTCCGACGATCCCGCCGCAGCGCGGGGCGGGAGGAGGGCGCGCGCTCTTCCAGGGGAAGCGGGAGCCGCGGCGGAGGCGGGGCCGCGCGGGCCACGCCCGGTGTGTCCGCCTGGCGCCCGTCGGGGCGGCAGCGGCAGGCGCAACTTCCACGGGACGGAGGCGGCGCTGCCGTTGCAGAGCCCGGCGGGAGAAGGCGCGGCGAAGCGTGAGCTGCTCTCTGGGGGACTCTCCCGGCCCGGCCCGGCCCACGGTGGAGGGCAGCAGGCGGCGCTGAGACCCGCCGGGACGAAAGTTTGGGAGCCGCCCCGCGGGCGGGCAGGAGGGGCCGGAGGCCGCGGCGTCTGGAGCATGAGAGGTTCGCCGCCGCCTCGGCGGTGCCTGTGAGAGGCGGCCCGCAGATCTCTCCTCGGGCGGGAGGAGAGAAGGCAGAGCGAGCGGAGGCGGCAGCACCTCGCCGGGGGACCCCCCGAGCCCGCGGCCGGGGTGCCTGAGAGCTCCTCCAGCCGCAGCGCTTGTTCTCGAGCTTTATTTCCCGTTCCCCGGCGGGGGAAGAGGAGGGGCGGCGGCGGCGGGGAGCCCTGTCGCGATCCCTCGGGACGGCGCGGAGACGGCTGGAAAGCCCTGAGCAGGAGTAAGCGGCTCCCACCGAGCCCTGCGCAGCGCCGCGTTCCTTTCCCGCCGGGGGCTTCCCCCTGCGGGGCTGCGAGTGCGCATGGGGGCGGCGGGCACGGAGCCGGGGCGGGGAGCGCCGGGAGCGGCTCCATGAGGACGGCAGGCCTGTCCGCGCCCCCGCCGCCCGCCCTGCCCTGCCCGCGCTTCCGAGCCTGAGGCCCTCGGCTCGCCTACGAAGAAACTTTTCCGCAGCGTCCGAAGATGGAGCCTGCCGGCATGGATTATTTCTGCGAGCAGGTACAGCAGAAGGACGTGGGCCGCAGGATGCAGGTCGGCCAAGAGCTGCTGGAGTACCTGGGCGACCCGGCGAGGTCCCCCGATTTGGAGCAGGACCAGCAGCGCCTTGACAAAGTGATCGACGAATTAACAGCGTGGGTCAACTCCAGTAATTTTAAGGTAAGGCTGCTCGGCGGGGCTCGGAACGGGAAGACCATGATTCATCATGGTAGGGAGGTACGGAGCCCCGGGTTACTTTTTTAATCAGGTAAGAGCAGAAGTTAAACTACATTTGTGCCAGTATTATCCCTTCCCGCACACAGGGGAATTCCGAAATTTTGGAAGGGTGGTTAATGTTTTATTGTTTCTATCCGTCTGTCCTTAAAGAAGCAGTAATAGGGGTTTTGGTTTTGCCTTTGTCGTTGGCTAGGCGGTGTTTTGGTTTGGTTTTGGTGTAGATTTGAGGGTTTTTTCACGGCATAACGTTAAATCCCCTCACCCCTCCCCCCGCAACTATAATACACACTCGGGTTGTGTTTCTTACTCAGAAACAAGATAGCTGATGATTATTTTTCTTATTTTTTTCTCGCTACCACTCCCATTCCATGGTCTCTGTACTTGGGTGTAGTGTTTCAGGGGTTGCCATCGTTTTCTGCAGGCCGTAAAGAGTGCTGCTCCACCGGATTTGTATCACGCTGTGTGTATTTTAGACGATTTAAGGACTAATTGGCTTCTTGGGGGTTCCCACTATAAGTTTGAAGTTGTTTATATCGTCTTTAGGTGACTTTCGCGTACCTGGGAAGTTATACGGTATCCTCACAGCGGCCCGATGATGACTCACGTTTCGCTTTTTCCTGTGTGCGTGTGTCTTTTAGACGGAGCCACGGGAAAAGAGCGATCACTCCCTCACACAGCGTTAACACTTGCGAGTTATTCTGACGTCGGTCAGCCAATAAGGCGATTGACAGCGCAGTTTTAGTGCCAAGGACAATCGTCTTCGCATTGGCGATTTTTTAAAAAATTTATTTATTTTGAATTTTCCCCTCCCCGCGGTGCGTGTGCGCGGCGCGGCCGGGGCAGGCCCGCGCTGCCGCCGCCGGGGGGCGCTGCCGGGCCGCGCTGCGCCGCGGGGCTGCCGGCCGGGCCAGCTCCGCCCTGCGCTGCTAGCGTGATCGGCTCGCACTTTGGACCTTTAAACTCGCTGCAGTGAGCTTGTTCTCGCTTTTTTTTCCTGTTTTCTGAGACACAGGAGGAGGGCGCAGAGTAACCTCGAATGGCAGTATGTTCCTGAAATGGATTTTTTTTCCCCTCCCTCCATTGGCTTTAATCCGCCAGCGTTTGCACGTAGCAGCTTCTGAGTTTGAGGTCTGAAAATAATAAAGGCTTAACTCCATTTGTGCATATGATTTATTTATTTTGGAAGCATGTTTGTCAGTAAAGGTCGGGTTAGCTTGAGGAAGTACCGTGTGCTGAACAAATATAATTTATTTACCTTTAAATTCATCATCTGAGGACAGCTGTTGGTGAAAAAAATAGATTAGTGCAAGATCTAGACAGGTCTTTAAAAATACTCTTTTTCATGAAGAGTGATAGCTACTTACTTAACAGGTTAATGTAAGAGTTTCTTCCTGCACTTGTAAGTTAACAGAATTAGGCATTAAGACTGGAAATTAAATTTTCAAGATGTATTTTTCGTAGTGCAAGACATTTTATTTGCTGTTTTTGTAAGGTGACAGAACTCCTGAGCTGTTTGGACTGTAGGATGAGTGAGAGCTATGTAGTGCTCCGCAAACATCAGTCACAGAAGGGAGATCCCCTAATCCAACCTCCCTGCTAAAGCAGGTTCACTGAGAGCAGGTTGCACAGAATCACAGCCAGGTGTGTTTTGAATGTCTCCAGAGAAGATTCCACAACCTCTCTGGGCAGCTTGTCCTCTGTCACCCTCAAAGTAAAGGAAATTTTTCCCTTGTGTTCAGATGGCACTTTTATGTTTCAGTTTGAGCCTGGTGACCTTATTACATGGCTGGGTACCACTGAAAAGAGTCATGCAGAATGAGAGTATTACAAATTCTAAGAATTTTAAAGACAGCTTGCAAAATCATTGAAGTATTTTTGTTACATCTTCTCTATGTCCACTTACTGGTGGCTCTTTATTGCATTTCAAAGCACGTCACATATGTTAGAGCATGGTGTTAGTCACGGGTTTGATTCCTGTAGGGGCCATCACTTAAGAGCTGGGCTTGATGATTCTTGTGGGTCCCTTCCAGCTTGCAAGATTCTGTGATTATATTAATGGCAACAGCACAAGATCTTGGGTGCTTTGCTCACGATCAGTACCAGTGTTCCTGGCTGTGGTAGTGACGGCCAGTGTGTGCTGCTTCAAAATGAGGATTGATATTCTAGAAAAATGGCGTGTGTTTTGCTTGCATACTTTGTCTCGTGCCAGCATAGATGTTATACATTTAAATGTTGCATCCTATTTTGTTATTACACTCAGGCCCTCAACAATAGAACGTAATGAATGCCACAGACTTATGTGTCTTCTCAAAAAAAAAACTAGTGATTTTTGATTGCTGTATTATTTAACACATTGTTGGTCACCCTTTGCTGAGAAATGGATACATAGAGCACTTAACAATTCTGCTTATCATCTTTCTTTTGTATCTTGCTAAAGGTCTTGCAGGTCTCCAGAGTCCTAAAGTAATGAATCCTTCCCAGTTGACATGACTGGTGATATCACAAGCAGTGATAATGGCTGGTGACTCAGAACTGCTGAGCTAGATGAATTAGAGATACAAGTGGGGGATGCTGAAGGAAGTTTTGATGGAGAGCATTATTTCTGCTCATGGTGATGGGTGTGGATAATAAGGGGATAACTAATGTGGCTTGCCCTGAATGTGCCATATTTTTTACTCCCACTGAAAGCTCAGTTCTTGTATGCAGTGCACTCTGCTGACTATACTGAAAGAGGAGATGCATGATCTGAGCTCTGGTTTCAACTCTTAAGCTGTGCCTTTGAAGAGAAAACTTTCTATGATATGCCACCCTGGAAAGTTTTTGGCTCATGTAACCAGAAGGGAAAGACTCTGGAGGAGTAATAGGAGTGTTGGCTTGACAGGCTTGATAATGGGAAAAAGAGAATAAGCATTCAGTAGACAAGCTGGACTCAATGATCTTCCTAAGTGATTCTATAATTCTAAATGTGGGGTAGTTATCAGCAAGGGTGAATGAACTCATCCCCAAAAGATTTTGGCCATATAAAACAGACAGTGCTTTTGCTGTTCTGAAGTTTGCAACTCTTTATAGTTATTTAATAAACAACCTGGCAATTCCAAACTGAGAGAGCAGATAGGAAAATTTCTGAGTTCATTTAGCTCATTGAAGTGGAAAACACAATTACTAGCTTGAGTTACTGGTAAAACAAAAAGGTGGGATTAAGAATGTGTTGACTCATCTGCAGGTGGTTCAGAGTTGTAGTGAAAATTGGTTGCAGAACATAGGGAATGACCTAGAGAGAGATGAGTCAATGTTGAATTATGAGGACTTCAGTTACAATGTCTATGCAGTGATGAACTGGCTTACAAAGCCTCCTAAAAGCTTTGCAATGTCAGGGAGTACACAGAAGACGTGCATAATTAAAACTTTTATTTTGTATCTCACTAGAATGAAAAAATTCCTCACTGAACTGAAAATTGGTTACTTGGTGATCTGGTTTATTTTGTACTGGTTGGGTCTAATCTCTCTCCTTCTACAATGTAGAGATTTGGGGTTTTGAGTGTACGTCAGTCCCTATCCCCCCTCCCTCAACTGTTTTCCCAAGGCTGTGAGGAATAAGAGCAGGTAAGTTGAATGCAAAGTATTAAGAGGAGTGATAGAATTATTCTGCTGGTATATGGTCTCAAACTGAAATATTTAGCAATCTCAGGAAATGGGAACAGTGCTACTGTTTGTATTTGGACTCTCAGGCGAACTTCAAGCAGTAAATGAATTACCCATTCTGAGGGTGTACTACTGATAGGTATTTGCTGGTGTTACTGGGTTAGCCTGGATTTTCATCAATGTATACATGAGTTTTCTTTAACACCTCTGTTAGGTCTCTCTCATGCTCAGTAGTCACTTGAAATAATTACAAGATTATCTAACTGTGCAGTCTGGTGACTCAAACTGTTCTGTGTCTGACTCAAGTAATCTGGAAATCTGCTTTGAACTCCTGCTGAAGAGATGTGGGATGGGGAAATACTGCTTTTAATATAGAGCTTTGCAAATCTCCTCTTGGCTGTTAGCATGTTGTGGAGTCTTCTAAGAGCACGAAAATTGAACAATTACCCTCATTGAAATTATTTTTTGAGCAATAAAGCTGCTTTTTGATTCTTTAAACAAATCACACCTGATGGGAACTAACAAAAAACTATGGCTAAAATGGTGGTAGTTTCTCGAGGTAATTGTATGTGAGAAGAGTAATCAGGAATGTTGGTGATTGCAAGTCACTTTTGGATTTCTTACCTTTGTGGTCAATGTCTTAGCTTGTTTTATTCCTCAGCTGGAGTAGAAAATTAATTAATAATCACTAGTTTTATGCCAGAGCAACAGATTGTTTGCCATGGGAAGAAGAAAATCTGATTTCACTCTTATCTCTTTCTGATAGTGTGGATGAACTGTTTCTTTTAGGCAAATCCTTGGAATTATCTCTTATTCTGTGTATCTTGAAGAGTGAGATTTTTCTGAGGTTTGTCTCAATGCCAAATACCAAAAGATATTAAAATACCAGTAATGTTGGTGTTGCATTTTTGAATTTCCTTGGCTTGGCAAGTATTAATTTTGGTTTGTCTTTAGTTTGACACAAGGCCAGCAGGAGGAGCTTTCAATTTCCAGAAGGGAAGAGAAGATTTGAACTGTAATTTTGCAGATAGGTAAAGACAAGTGGTTAGGATGCTTGTCTGAAGTACTTTCAAAGAGATGGCTGCAGTTAAAACTTGGTTGACTGCACCTCTGTGTGTGAGGTGGAACCTATGATTTAAAATTACCTGAATAAAACGGAGATACTGAGTTCTGAAAAAGTAGAGTTCAGAGATAAAACATGTGGCGTTGCACATTTAATTGAAAATAACCGAATGCACAAATGCAGGATGTGGGGTGTGTATGTAGCAGAGCTTAGGAAGAAAATGTGTGGGGTGTTTTGG